TTATACCAGTGTAGTTTAAATTTATCGTTTTAGTTGTGACTAAACAGGAATAGGGAAGATCAGACGCTATGAAAACTTTATGATGTAATATTGTCATAGTCTTAAAAGTCTTTGAAGTATAGGAGAATTTAAAAAGTATACACGGTCGTTTTCATGAAGAACATTCCAAACTTTACTCTCTTTTTTTCAGATAGACTGTACTTCAATTGTGGATATTTTTTACATGGGTAATGTTTGGTTTAGAAGGAAACAAAATATGGATTATTTTGGAACATACAAAGACGGAAAAGATCAGAGCAGGAATGACTCAGTGAACCGCATTAACTTCGCCATTTATCTGATTTGACAAATATATGAGTCAAAGATGGAATTAACAAGGCCGAAGTAATAAAAATGCAAAACCCGTGAATTCAAGATTCCAATTCAATTACGGCAARTGTATTATCATGCAGTATTAAAATTAAAACTTGCAATGCCAAGGAGAAGATTCCATTTGCAGAGGAACCCCAGAGGAACCCACAGAGAAGCAAGACTTAACTAAGCGCCATAGAGTTAGTGAAGGAACGTGGAATTAAAGAATGTAAGAGTGGCCAAGGGAAATGGTTGACGATGCAATGGAGTACTGACGCTAACTAAGATTGACCAACAGATTTGCTAAGACAAAGACTTTTGCGCGAAGGCCTTATGGAAAACTTCTAGATAAAATTCAGTTTTAGGAAATATATCGATTATTTGATACTGAAATATACGTATACGTATATGAATATATACGTCAATTTTGTTCGAGTCCGCAATGAAACAGCGGTTTCACAACAAAAAACAACAACTATATTATTCTATAACGAGGAAGGATAAAAGACTGGACCGAGAATGGGCCAGAATGTATTATCTTAACTTGTACAAAACTTCAAGAATTCATCAAAGCAAAGGTAGGTGTTTTAACATAAAAAATCATTGCCTTAATATTTTCAGACATGTAAAACAGAGAAGAGATGTTGAAAATGCTTCTTCAGTTGAGGAGTTTGTTGCCATTTTTGTGATCGCAAATACCATTTGGAATAGTGCACATCGATTCCTTTTCCGCCATGTTGTGACATCAAATTTTCATGAATACTCCTCCGTCGCCAGTTTTTAATTCAATGTTGCTCAGGGTTAGCCTCGTTCATTTCTTTTTTCTTTCTTAGTTTTGTATCATATCCATTTGTGTTATAGTGAAGGTTCATGGAAATTCTGAATTGCGGTAGATGCGTTCAATAAAATTATATTTCAATATATGTGTGGAAGGTTCGCCACAAAATGAGGCTACCCATAAGTAATACATCTGGAATCGATTATACGAATTGAAAAGGGTCTAATGCTGCTGCAATTCAGAACTACTATATTGCATGTGTTTGTAATTTACTGTTGTTGATCGTGTAACATCAGTTGTCGAGTTTTTTATCGCTGTTTCCATTGTTAGGCGATGATCGAAATGAAAGTCGCGGTGCCGAGAATGAAACTAAACTATCAAACAAATAAATCGTTCCCATATACCTTTACCTCTACGTAGTAAGAGACTGTAGACTACTACGCATTTAGAAGAGTCATTCAACGACTCCTCTAAATGGGCAGCTCTAAGTAAGTTGTTTAACTATAGTGCACAAAGGTACTTAATGATAATCAATATTCTACAGGTTAATTAAAAGAAGAAGAGTATTCTTGGTTATATACAAGAAGACGGTACAGTTATGCAGAACACAAGTTCTAGTGTAAGGTGTATTAAAACTGTAGTCTTGCCTCAGTAAATGTATTAAGTTTATTATGATATTACTTATATATATATGACTCAATATCAAATAGCACACTGGGATTCCTTTGCCCACAAAATTTACCCCTGAGACCCCCCCTTCAAAAAAACCCTGGATCCGCCCTTGTAAGCTATGCAATAAAAGTAATAGCGCGGGAAGAAACTAACATTATTCTTACTCGACTCGTCAGGTTCTAGCAAGGAACACT